ATATGCTTAAACACCGGCCAGATTATGCATGATAAGCTCAAGAGTATTTCTGTTCCTGGGAGCTTTGCTTGCTGTTCGGGTTAGACCTGCGATCTTTTTTGGGTTTCTTCAGTGCTCCAGGGCTGTTGGCAGGTCAAGCCTTCGGGGAATACTTCGGCTGTGATTGTGATTGTGGGTTCCGTTGACGGGTACTATAAGGGTTCCTTTGAAGGGGTCTATAGTCTATAGGGCTCTTAGGGTTACAATAGGGTTTAGGATTCAGGGCAGCCGCAGGCTTTCTCGTGAACCCCGAAAGCCCGAAACGCTAAAAAGCGGATCCCTGGACGCTGAACTAAGCCCGCGACGGATGTTTGCGCTTGAGGCATATTTAGGTTGGAGGCGTTCGGCCTGTGTCTGTTAAGAGCGGTTACAGTGTTTAGTCTTTGACGTTGCCGTGGGCATGCCTCGTGAAAACTACGCCATGTTTTCATAGGGGGACAAAGTACAAGTCTCAAGAAGTAGCAAAGAAGATAATTTAGGGGCCCTCATCATTGCCTGTAGTATTTTGGGGGTTCCTTACTTCTTTGACTATAGTAGTAGAATATACCCCCAACAGTCCCCTATAATATTTCGGGGGTTGCTTATTATAACTATAGTAGGATATACCCCCAAAAACCCTATATTAATCATTAAGGCCCTACATTGTCTCCCCGATGCCCACTCTTTCTGGGCCCCGGGCCCCCTGAAAAGAGCGCTCATCCTAACATCGGAAGCCTGGCCCGGTACCATGAGGGGGGTTTCCGAAAATTAGGGTACCTTATTTTGGGGTCCTTATAATAAGGATCCTATTATTTAGGGTACTACATTAGGGTCCCCTATAATCGGAAACTCCCATGAAGCCCAAACCCCGGTTGGGTGTTCAGAGAGATGGAGGGAATTTCGGTTTAGGGTTATTTAGGGTTTTTTAGGGTTTAGGGTTTAGAGTTTTTTAGGGTTTAGGGTTTTAGGGTTTTAGGGTTTTAGGGTTTAGGGTTTAGGGCTTAGGGGTCTGGGTTTAGGGCTTCTTTAGGAAGGATGGACATTCGTGCCTGTGCTTTGACAATGTCTTGGATGTAGAGAACTCGGACGCTGCATCTACGAACCCTGAACCATCCAGAGTCCAAGACCCAATCACCTCAACACCGTGACTCCAAGGACAGACCTGGGTGGTTGTCAAAATTATGGTCCCTTTTGGGGTCCTTACTATAATACGGCACCTATTATTTAGGGTACCCCAAAAGGGACCCTAATTTAGAGAATTACCCACATGAGGATCGATGGTATTGGCTCAAGTCCTCAAGGATCTACACATCATACCTAACTTGAGGCCCACACTCACGCAAGGGTACCACCCTGCACGACCTTGATCCCCACGTAATGTAGGGGCCTTAACTGTTAGAATAAGGCTTTAGGGCTTCCTTATTATAACTATAGTACAATATACACCCAGTCCTTATTCCAATCTTCAAGGCCTCTATGTTTTACCCCAAGCCCCATGCGCCTCGAGCCTTACACCCTGAACCCTCTGGATGCCCGCGGTTACCCTTGCATTCGAAAGATCCCAACGTAGGTAGGACTGCAGACCTCAGACCCAAATCACCCCTGAACCCTAAACCGATGGACCCTACACCCCTAAACCCTTAAACCCTAAGCCCCTAAACCCTTAAACCCCTAAACCCCTAAACCCTAAACCCCTAAACCCTAAAACCCCGAAACCGACAGACTCCGATCCCGAAGTCGGGGTCCGCTGACTCGGAGTCTTCGGGAAAGCTGGCCCTCCGGCATCCCCCAGCCAAGCCATGCGGAAGAAGGTCGACGGCCGGATACGGACGCTGGCCTCGACCTTGAGGGTTTAGGGTTTATAAGGGTTTAGGGTTATAGGGTTAAAACAGAGCAGGCAGGGGCTTCTTTAGGGCCTGGGGCTCACGGGCATTTCGGGTTGAGGGTTGAGGGTTTATCCGCTGGAAGTGGTGGTTGAGGGGTTCAGAGGCTTGTACAGGATACGGCTGGAGTCTGAGATTGGTTGTGCATCAGCGCCAAGCGAACAGGCAGAAAGCTTCGTGCTAGGCGAAGGACATCGTTTCCGTCAAAAGTCAAGGGCTGAATGTCATAATTCACAACAGCTGCCATGAGACTTCATAAACCCTCTAGATCTGTATAGGAGTTTCCGAAAACAGGGGACCCTAATCTAGTACCCTAAATAGTGGGATCCCTATTATAAGGACCCCCAAAATAAGGTACCCCTCATATTCGGAAACTCCCATATACATCAACCGAAGTACGGGAGATCGAGACTTCTTCGGCCCGGAAGTAGGTACTGCTTGTTTACGGTGGAATGAAGCTTTTCCTTCAGGCTGAAAGCAGCCCAGAAGCCTGATGGGTAGTTCTCTAAAATAGGGTCCCTTTTTAGGTCCCAAATATAGTACGGCACCCTTGTAAAAAGGACACCGAAAGGGACCCTAATTTAGAGAACTACCCTGATACATGATTGGTAGCTGAGGTTAGGGACTGACAGATTTCCCTACCGCCCAGGTACCTACTATATAGGGCCCTAGGGGCTCTCGTACCCTATATAGGTACCTGGGGTGTTAGGGTTTCTTGGGCTCATATCAACATGATCCTCTTAGAGTTAGAAAACAGGGTGTAATCTTGTTTGAGCCTATATGTGAGCTCTGCGGCTAGGGGTACAATGGCCACAGAAGAGGCCAGGTGTCGTTGGAGCTTCAGCGGCATGTACCCTTGAGGAGATACTATTTAAATAGCGTTGAGGGCTTAGGGTACTTCGCATTGGGACTTCGAAAATCGCAACACTGGGGCAGCGCGCAAAACAACGGCAACAAATCGAACTTCTTAGCAGTGGGGCATCACTTCGAAGCCAAAAAAAACAACGGCAGCAAATCGTACTTCTTTGCACTGGGGCAGCATTTCGAGGCCAAGACAACGGCAACAAATCGTACTTCTTAGCACTGGGATATCAGGGTCTTCCGAGAACTCCAGGATTCTATGAGGGTTCGACATGCACTGTACAAGTCGAGTGTGGGTAGCTCTAAAGATCCTACATGCCTACATGGTGCGGTAGGGTTTGCATGCTAAGAAAGTGGCCCTATATGTGAGTACTATAGAAACCTGAAAACTGACCACGGCCATTTTAAAGGCCCCTCGAAGTATCGAAGTCTTGTAAACTATACCCCGAAACCTCATTGTATGCACTAAGGCCCCTGTATTACACTCGGTACAAGTACTTCGGATCCGTCTCTTTAGTTCCGTCCCGGCAGGACGAGTGTACCTGGGGGGCCTTAGGGTGTGGGTTTACGGTTTCTGGTTTGGGGGATCCAAACTAGTCCCGTAGCCTTTTTCAACCCAGACGAAATTTCCGAGCCGATCCTGAAAGTTCGATCTGTGTAAGCATGAGGTCGAAAATGGCATCAAGACGCACACGCGCAGCATGTTCGTCATCGCCGCTCGGCACAAAACTGGTGATGCTTTTCCTTCGCCATCCCACTATTCCAAACAGCAGAACTCGACACCCTGAAGCCTTGATTAACTGAACCCTAAAGCCCAAATAAAGCCCCTGTAATGATCTCATAAGCTTCTTGAAACAGTTTACAAAGCGCGTGCAGACGAGAACTTGAATCTAAACTCGAAGCAGTGTGCTGCATGTTCAGACACTTCGTCTGAATCGGTAGTCCACTTAGGTGGGCGACCGTGGCCGCGACCAGGTGGGGGGCCTTGTCCTAAAGATCCTTCGAAAGCCTCAATCTCAATGCAGGCAATTCTCGGAAGTGGGGTTGGCGTCGCATAGACCCTACGATATGGCACTCCCTTTTGGATAACCTGTTCTATGCTGAGGATCCTGCAAGCAGAACATGAAGCAAACAAACAAACAAAGGTACAGTACTACACTGCCGAGTTGAAGTAGTTAAGTAGGGGTCAAAGTCAGCAGAAAAGATAGTATAGGGGCCTCAATAAATACCTATACTATTTTGAGGGTTCCTTATTATATCTATAGTATACTATATACCCCCCAACCCTATATTCGAATTATACCATTGAGGTCCCTATATTAAGACCTGAAAGTACCCCTTATAGTAACCCTTTCAAGGGAACCCTTAGAAGAACCCTATTCTAGTTATTAAGGCCCCTACTCAAAAAGGACTCCGAGAGCAGTTTAGGTTTTAGGGTTTAGGGTTTTGGGGTATAGGGTTTAGGGTTATTAAGGCCCCTTTTCAAAAAGGACTCAAAGAGCAGCTCAGAAAGGTGGTGAACCTACACTTCATGATGCACAAGATCGCCAATACCAAACCATCAGTTCTGTGGCCGCGGCCTTAGGGTACTGCCGGGACATGGATCCAGAATATATGTTCAAGATATTTGTACATATATCATATATCTATATCTGTTTCTCTATGCATGTGTCTATCTGTTAGTCTGTCTGTCGGTCTCTTTGTCTGACTATCTGTTGAGTCGTGTCCTGCAGGTTGCACGCGGCACGGTCTTTAACTGCTTGGAGATGCACACTGGCACAGTATCACGTTATGTTTCAGTCGAAAACAATATTGAGTGTCGCGGGAGGTGTACTCGTGAGGAAAAGGCTCATAGACGCGACTCCGAAGGAAGAAAAGCCATGCTGCGTTCCTGCCTTCACTGTTTTTTAATTGTTATGGCCTGTTTTGAAATTCGCCCCTCATGTTGATGTCTGGTTTTGTTCCTTTGAATGCTGAATAAGAACACTGAGTGTTTGTTGCTGATGGTCTCCTTGAAGCCTGAGGCAGTTTTCGGTATGGCGGCTGTAGGACTTATCGTGAACACGCATTTTGGGCTTCGGTTTTAATGTTCCATGAATGCCCGGTAACCTCGTTTCCTATAAGTAGGGTCCTGTCTGGGCCCTCAACAGAGTACGGCACTCGTCTAGCAAAGACTCACAGAACCTAACCTTCAGGCGAACCTGAAAGCATACAGCACCTAAAGTATTTTGTACTGCTTATCCTTAAGGCTCTTCATTACAAATCAAAGTTGGCTTACTATATACCCAAGGTCTCTGTAGAGTCATGCGGGCCCCAAAACCAGTAACCCCCCCTCACAAAGTACGAAGGTGCTACAAGAAGGAGCTGGGCTTCAGCACCCATCGGAAAAAGCGCATGAAGCAGGCGGAGCAGCTCTTCAAAGATGCTTTCGTCAAGTCAAGCCTGACCCCCCAGGTACCCACTATAGGGAATATAGGGTACTAGCCCCCTAGGGCCCAGGATAGTAGGTACCTGGGGGGGGTTAGGGCAAGCTCTCTCTTCCTAGCTTTGGGCGTACATTACGGTATCGCATGTAGCCATATAGAGCCTATCTGGGTCGTTGTGGGTGCGTGTGTGTGTGTGTCTATATGTATGTACGTATGTATGTATGTATGTATGTATGTATGTATGTACGTATGTACGTATGTACGTATATAAGTATGTAAGTATGTAAGTATGTAAGTATGTAAGTATGTAAGTAAGTAAGCAAGTAAGTAAGTAAGTAAGTAAGTAAGTAAGTGAGTAAGTAAGTAAGTAAGTAAGTAAGGAAGTAAGGAAGTAAGTATGTATGTATGTATGTGCTTAGTTATGTGTTTACTCGTTTCGTTGTTTGTTTGTTTACGTGCGTCATACTTAGAAGTGGAAGCGCACCTAGATTTACATTCCCGTTAAAAGCACACGTTTAAGTGTATGTGTATATATACACGCAAACGTATACATATACAAATACATATACTTTCAATTACTTTTACATACATATATACACATATATATATATACACACATACGTACATACCTATACATACCTACCTACATACATGCGTACATATATATATATATATTTTTTGAAATATATACAGAGCGCATAGCTAAACCGCCAGATGCGCACATACATACATAGATTCATGCATGCATGCATACATGCACACATACACATATGATATGCATGCTCGCGTGCATACATAAAGCAATATAGAGAAAGAGCAGCCGTTACGAGGATTAAGATAAAATTTGTTGGATCCCGATTGGTCTCGCAAGTGAAGGACACAGAAGCTTCACAGAGCTTGCCGATCCTCGCGTCGATTGCCAACGGATCAAGTTTTGTGGGGCTTAGCGGTTTCTTGGGAGCTTTGAAGCAGCTGTCTCACCACTCCACGATGTCGTTCGATCCCAAGACCCGCCTGGAAAGGTTGGTGGCCCACATCGCGGCCGCGCCGCCCGTGGGACTGAGTTTTCCGGACGAGGGTGGGTTGCCACAAGAAGCGCTGGAGATCCTTCAGGCCCTTGACAGATTCAAGACTTCGCTCTTCCACGCAGAGAGCCAAGCCACGGAGCAAGGGAAGATTTCGGAGGGCACGTTCAGTCAGCTTGTCCATCTCTGGACGCACTTTAATCGCATCATGAACAACAACATTGGTGACCGCGCAGTCCTTCCGAAGGAGGACAGGAAAGCAGTGGGCCGTTACATCCAAAAGGAGCTCCTCCCCTTCCTTGCACTGGCCCCAATCCTCAACCGCATGTACACCAAACCCTGTGGTTACGCGGGGGACTGCCTGACCATAAAGATGATGTACGACCACCGCAATCCGGAGTTCCAGGGCGAGGGCAAGTTGGGCCCCATCCTCCTTGAACTCTGCATCAGGAACCCAGCTTTCCAGGCGGTGCGCAATCGCCGTGGGCTCCTGGCAAACGAAATCGCCGACACCATCGCTGCCGCGGCTTCCGATGGCCGGGCTGCACAGATCACGAGCTTGGCCTGCGGCCCTGCCCAAGAGACCCTCAGCTCTCCAGCTCCTGAGGTAGGATGTTTAATGTAGGGGGCCTTAATAATTCGAATGGGGTGTTGGGGGGTTCTTTTTTATATAATTATGGTATAATGGGCAAAAAAAACCCTCTTCAAATTATTAAGGCCCCTGCAGTAGGTACATGGGCTGTTTGCGGGTTTGGGCCAGGGCTTTAGGATTTTGCAGCCAAAGCTCAAAACCACTAAACCCTAAACCCTAAACCCCTAAACCCCTAAACCCTAATCCCTAAAGCGCAGGATGCTGAGCAGTTTCGGAACCATGGCAGAATCAACCCCGAAGAATGGACGTCAGTTGGGTGGTTGTCAAAATTATGGTCCCTTTTTGGGTCCTTATTATAACACGGCACTTATTATTTAGGATACCCCAAAAGGGACCATAATTTTGACAACTACCCAGTTTGGCCAGGGACACCAATTTAGGTGTCGAGGTAGTGTCCTTCCTGCACCAACACCCACCTGTCTTCTGCCAAGAAGATCTTGGAGCCACTCAAGTCTGAACCCTGATACCCTAAGACGGCTGATGATAGAAATCCTGCAGTAAGGAATATACCATAGCTCCCAAAGCCTAGGGTCCTTAAGGGAATGCAGGGTTTATGTCCTAAACCCTAAACCCTATGTATATCATCAACAGTGCCCCCAAGGATCTTCGACATCTACGAGACCCTGATACCCTAAAACTAAAACCCTAAACCCTTAACCCTCAAACCCTAGTGCCCTACATAATACCCTAAACCCTGATAGCCGAATACCCTAAGGATTTTCGACATCTACGAAACCCTAACACCCTAAACCCTAAACCTATGTATATCCTCAACAGTACTTTTTAGGATCTTCGACATCTACGAGACCCTACCAGATCCAGCCCAGCTGCAAGCGTCGCTCTTGGACATCGACAAGCACCTCGCTCCAAGAATTCCTGCGGGGTCCTTTTTGTTTGTTGGGGGGGGAGAGGAGGAGGTTTGAGGGTTCTTTAGGGGGTTTATAGGGTTTAATTAGGGGTTTAAGGGCTCCTTAGTAGTAGAGTCTGTAACCTTTAACTTTTTTCGGTGGTGCTATATATCCAAACCCTAAACCCTAAACCCTAAACGGTTTAGGGTTTAGGGTGACGAACTATCCCTATCAGGACCCTTCAACCCAGGTTCTCCCTGAAAGGGTCCCCAGGGTTCCTGTAAGAGGACCCCATGAGCCTCCAAGTAGACTACACCCTAATCCCCATAGGTTTTTATAGAACCCTTTAGGGACCCCGTCTTATAGAACCCTTTAGGGACCCCTTCTTATAGAACCCTTCAAGAACCCCGTTTATAGATTGATAGACCCCCTTTGTAGAAGCCGTCGGGCTAGACCCTAAACCCTAAACCCTAAACCCCAAACCCTAAACCTTCATATGAGACCCAGGCAAGCCCTTCAGGGGATCGCCACCTTGGCGGAGGAGCAAAACCTCACGGAACACCTCCGGCTTCTGAAGGACGGTTAGGGTTTAGGGTTTAGGGTTTAGGGTTTGGGGTTTGGGGTCCTTAGCAGAGTTTCATCAGAGCTCAACAAATCGTTGTGTCTTTGTCGTTTTGGAGGGTAGCTTTCTGGATTAGGGTTTCTGTCTAGGAAGCCAAAAGAAAGCGGCACCCTTGCAAAAAGGCCCTTACAGGGGACCTCAACGTTGAGAGCTACCAATTTGCTTCCTTCAGCCTTCAGAACGGACCGGGGGCCGGGGGAAAGAGAGGGTTTAGGTTTTCGGGTTTAGGGTTTTGGTTTTAGGGTGTTGGGTTTAGGGTTTAGGGTTAAACCCTAAACTCGGGTTGGGTTGGGGGTTTGGGATGTGTGGAAGGCTTCTCGTGTTTACCAGTACCTTGGTGGCTTTTCGGGCTGCTCGGTTTGTTTGTAGATTCGGGCTTCAGGGTCTTCACACCTAAACCCTAAACCCTAAACTGTTAACAAAGCCCTGAACCCCAGGAAGCAGCCCACCGGCCCATCCACGTATGCCCAACTCTTCAGTCGGCTTGAAGGTGCTAGGGCCATTGGTGTCTGCTGGTTGCATCTGTTTAGGGTTTCTAGGCGTTTAGGGTTCACGGTTTCTGTGTAGGGTTTAGGGCCTAGGGTGAAGCTCCTATTGAACCCTTTGCCGCCGAACGGAGAACACAGCTCTACTTCCTTTACCCGTTCCTGGACTTACGCTCCGTGCCGAAACCCTGACCCCCCGACTCCTAAACCCTGACCCTAAACCCTAAACCCTAAACCCTAAACCCTAAACCCTAAACCCTAAACCCTAAACCCTAAGCAGGCTCATATTAAAGGGTCTCCGTAGACTTCGGGGTCAGAGGCCAACTTGATCCACCTTGCCCTGGGCCGTCGCAGCGTGGACGTCCAAGAGCAGGATACGAGGGGCGGCCTCAATGACTACTAATCTGGGTCCTTCAGTTGTTGGATACAATTTTACATTCTTGTTCTAATAAAGCCCAAGAAGGATTAAGAGTGACGATTTTTAACATCGCCCCAACAGGGAGCCTGTAATACTATCTTGGGGTTTAGGGTTTAACTAGGGTTGTTGAACCTACACAGGGCTGCAGAGCTACACTCCCGTGGGCTTCTAAGTTTTATTGCATTGCTTTAATATAGGGGCCTTAAGAATTACCTCTAGTATTCTGGGTGTTCCGTATTATAGTTATAGTACAGTATACCCCAAAAGAATGTTATTGGAAGTATGAAGGCCGCTGTATTTCAACCCCATTATAGATCCCTTATAGTATCCCTTTTAAGGGAACCTTTGTGAAGGAACCCTATTCTAATTGTCAGCAGGCCCCTACATTAAATCCTTATAATACCCCTTATGGTATTCCTTCTAAGGAACCCTCACAGGAACTCTATTCTTACTTACAGAAAGGCCCCTACATTAAATCCTTACAATACCCCTAATAGTAACCCTTTTATAAGGAACCCCTTAAGCCTCTGGGGAGAAGCCAAGCGGGAGTTTATAATGTAGGGGCCTTTAAAGAAAATAGGGGACCCTAATATAGTACCCCAAATAGTAGGATCCCTATTATAAGGACCCCAAAATAAGGTACCCCTATTTTCAGAATGGGTTTTTGGGGCATCCTTGAAAGGGGCCCCTGTAAAGGGCTAGGATAAGGGCATAGTATACGCGCCTTAATAGTCAGAACAGGGTTTTGGGGTATATTATACTCTATTTTAGTGTTTAGGGTTTAGGGTTTAGGGTTTAGGGTTATATATACTTATAATAAGGAACCCCAAAATAATGTAGGTAGCTCTCAAGGCCCCGAAAGTAGTGGTTCACTCGGCACCGGGTCCGGGAAGCGAGTTTCCAGCTCAGCAGATCGCCAATGCTTCACGGCACCGGAGTGCAGAAGTATCATATGGGGTTCCGGGATCTTAATATAGTACCTTAAATAGTAGGATGCTGGTTATAAGGAACCCCACAAATACGGTACCTTTTTTGGACACTCCCATATGTATACCTGTAACTATGTCGATATCTTGCAGGCTTGAGTCCGCGGCGAGTCAGGGTTTACATTTTCAGGATTCAGGTGTGCGGACCGATTCCAGGACCTGGTCTATACAATTGGCCTCATCGACTACTTCGACGACGAAGCTTGGTCGAACCTGAGAATTGGTTGCTGTTTCCAGAGTTTCCTTATTCTACTTTCAGTTGGCAGTATCCCTTTGGGCCACAATGAAGGCCCGATCTCAAGAAGCCTAGCATCTCACTAGGATGCCGGACCTTTCCTTTCGTTTCACTACGGTGCAAATGCGAGCTCTCCGTGTGTGAATGCGACGCCGAAGCCCGAACTCCTACACTCCCAAAGCATGCAACATTATGATATCTACTTACAGAATTCATGGTAGTAGTTCCTAGCATTGCTAGGTGTATGTCTATACATATACATAATGACATACATATATGTATATAGATATATACATACACCCTGCTTCCTATTGTCAAGTACTATATTTTGTTCAAGTACTCAAGGCCCATGGATCCAAAGTCCCCATAGATCCCGACAGCGCAACCCAGAGGACATGGTTGTAAAGCTCCTCTCCTTGGCGTACGACATGCTTCGGCCGGGGGGGCGAGTCATTGTGGGAAACTTCCACACCAGCAATCCGGACAAGGCGGGAAACCCTAAACCCTAAACCCTAAACCCTGAACCCTGAACCCTAAACCTTAAAAGCTTCCGGCAGCTTCGGGATGAGGTTTTTCTACGTATTGGGTCCTGAACCCCAAATGATGTCGCTCTGTAGCAACATTCCCTAACCCTCCAGGTACCTACTATATAGGGTACTAGAGCCCCTAGGACTCTACATAGTAGGTACCTGGGCGGTTAGGGAACATTCTCTAACCCTCCAGGTACCTACTATATAGGGCCCTAGGGGCTCTAGTACCCTTTTTAGTAGGTACCTGGGGGGTTAGGGATTCTCATGATGACTCGCAAGCGAAGCCCATACAGTCTTTGCACCATCCTGTACCGATGTGTAGTGCCTACTTCGGGCCGACAGTTACCATGTCGGAACCGCTTTGCATGGACTTAGGGGTACTTAGAAATAATTGTTAATCTTTGGTTACTATAAACCCTAAGAAGCAGCTAAAATTATAATTTTTGCTAGGGGTCTAAGTTCAGTATAGTGGATCCTTTGGGAGTAAGGGGCCAGAGGCATCGTAAACGGCGCCCTGGTTGAAGAAGTGCTGGAGTGCCGAAGTGTTTGGTGCACTTTGCTGTGTAATTTGCTGCAAGCTTTTGAGCCTCATTTTTTGCTTCATGAGGTCCCAGGCGTCGTCATCCAACAAAAGTGCGCCACAGCTTTGGAACTGTGTCATGTCGGGTGCAGGCCTTTATGGACTATATCATGGAATGGCCGCTGGTGCATCGCGATGAGACCAAGATGCATGCCCTTTTTAAAGCCTCGAAGTTCGGGAAGCCATGCGACCATATTCAATTCGAGGCAGCTGGGGTGAACCTCTTCGCCGAGTGCTCCAGAAGCTAAGCCCCATTGCCCCATGCGCCATTTTCCGAGCCTGCCGTTTCTGCCCAGTTATGATGTGTGGGGTCCCATTAGCCAGCAAGAGGCAGAAGGATATTTTCTAAAAATATACTATGTTATACTATATTGCAGTGCAAGATTGTATTTGTCTAACTATACCATGTTATACTATATGACACAGTTATTGTTTAGCAGTGTATTATTGTATAATCCTGGCTCCTGATGAAACTCGACAACACAGTGCTTGGTGCGTCGGCTTGGGCGTACTGCAAGCAGCTGTAGAGGACTGCCCCACCATTTTCCATCTAAGGGGCGGGCACGGTCGGGCAAGGGCACACTTTCTTAACATGGGGGGGCGTCGGAATAATTAGAAGTAGTATCCCCGTATGCAAGACTTCCACAGCCATTCGAACGACGGCCCCTACATTACATTAGCTCCTTGGTTATTTGATTGATGTGATCTTCCATTAAGTTGGAAACTGTCTGCCCTCCTGCGTTGAAGGCAATCTAGAAGGAATACCATCCCTGCATTCATCCCTTCCCAGTTTCCAGCTTATGGGGGTTTCTTGAAAGTTAATGTTCCCAACAGCCGTCGGCACGAGCCGACATGCTCGCAAGTCCCGTTTATGAGTCAGCTCACGCTCTTCAGCAGAGCGGGTGTGCTGAGTCACCCAAATGGTCCTGGGTACGGCTATGCTGTTGCGGTTTGAGCTTTGGCTGGGATTCCACAGGGCTTTATTTATGTTTTGTTGGGCATGCTGCTGTGTTGCATCCAGTAGCTGGCATAGAAATCCTGTTGTGCGCTATGCAGCGATGTAGCGACTCAGCACCTCAGGGCGCGCACACAACTGAGTGGACGGTATACGGGTTGGATAGCTCGCTGCTTTGGAATGGCGGCAGGCGTCGCCAGCCAGACGCAACGAGAGCTTGCGCTTGCTGTGCACCTGGATCGATTGTGGCGGTCAGAAAAAACACATGCAAGCCAGGCATGGACACATGGGAAGGTATGCTTACATGCACATGGCGTTGCCGAAAACCTCTCTTGCGGTTTGTCATGCCATTCATGTTGGTGCCAGCGCACGGTTGAAAGCAGCGCTGCCCCGACTACTGGTTGGCGTTGCAGTGAGGAGGTTGAAGTTCTGGGGGCGTTAGTTATATTGGACTGCTGGTTCTAGCTTCTAGGGTTTCTCGTTTTGGGTCTAGAATGCCAGCTCAACATGACATAAAGGTCGGAGTAATTAGGATTGCTGTGCCTTTAGGTTCCTTGCATGGCAAAGTCATATTAATTCAACCATGCCCCAAAGCCCTGTTACAATTGTTCAGGCTGCTATGTTGCGCCTCAACTTGTCAACTCGGATAACCCTTATGGAGGCTGCCGAGCTAGCCCTGGACATGTCAACTCCAATCACCTCCCTAAGCCCCTAAACCCTAAACCCTAAACCCTAAACCCCCTAAACCAGGTGAAGAAGATGCAACAGCGAGGGCAGCTGGATGCGAATGTGGAAGATCCGCCAGGGGCCCCGAGTGTGGGATTCGAGTCGGGGCTCCTTCAAGTTAAGGCCGTAAGGGCTCTATATTTAGGGTTTAGGGTTTAGGGTTTAGGGTTTAGGGTTTAGTATAAGCACTCTGCAATGGATCCATAAACCTTTCATGTAAGGAGATTTTGAGGTGTATAAACAAGCTCATTAGGGATTGTGATGCGTTCGTCTTCGGGTGTCCGTTTGGGGATACTGGCAATGAAGACCCCACTTCAGGATCTTGGAAGTAAGGAGTTTGGTGCCTAGGGTTTGAGTAGGAGTTACGGTTCAGGCTTGAGGGTTTGGGGTTCCTAAACCCTAAACCCTAAACCCTTATTTAGGGTTTAGGGCTTCGGGTTTTGGGACGGATCGCACCAGCAACCCGAACCCTAAACGCTTGAACAAAAGCTCCTGGCTTCTAGGGCCCAGTTCAAGTTCCGGACCCAGAGAGCCCAAGGGACCCCTTAAGGAAGATACTGTAAATCATAACATTAAGGGTTTAGGGTTTGGGGTTTAGGGTTTAGGGTTTAGGGACAGCATTTATTGCCTCGCCCCCGATCATCATGAAAGTACACTCCTGTTCAAGCAAGCACCGGAGTTAGAATGTCGGTATTGAATTCCTAATGTCAGCCCAATGTAGACTAAACCTTAAACCCTAAACCCTAAACCCTAAACCCTAAACCTTGACAAGTGGCCCCCTCTTCCGCTAGGAGTATACTAGCGATCCCAGACTTGCTGGGCCTCTTTTAAGATCGAGGCTGAGCCTTGAATAGTCATAGTACTCCCCCTTGGCAGAGGCCCTATATGGGCTTAGGGTTTAGGGTTT